GGCCTGCGGGCCCCTTGCCCGTGGGCTGGCGAGTTGGCCGCCCTTGGGAGGCGGTGTCCCCAGGCCTGGGCGCTCCGGCGGCGACGGGCGGTGACTGCATTCTCCCCGCATCTCGGTGACGGCCCGTGTCCTCTCCCACAGGTTGGGCAGCCTCCCTCCCGAAGCGTCTGGAGGAGAAGCCCCGGGTGTCCCCCGGCATGTCCCATCCCGCGATGGGGGGCGCGGCCGCCGGTCCTCCGGAGAAGTTGGGCGGCCCGGGGCGGCCCCGGGCGTGGGGGGCAGCGTCTGTGCAGCGGTTGTGAGCAAGATGCGGTAGCACGTGACCCGGGGACGCAGCCGCCGAGGCCGGTTCCCTGCCACCTGTGCGCTGTTTTCCTCTGGTACTTGGCCGCAAGCAGATGCACCACAGGTGAGTCGGAGGTGGGCTCGGAGCCGGGTGACGTCTGCGGAGAACGTCTGCACCTGAGTGTTCAGCGTGCCTTCGTCTTGGGTGTCACTGGGAAGGCTACAGGTGCGATTTGCAAATACAGATTTGTGTCCCAAAGCAACAGGAATTCCAGAAACTGGTATTGGCTTGCATATACTCTCATTCAATCTGCTTTACTTCACATAGGAATAATTGTCCCAAAGAGCCATGCACCGATTATTGATTCGCTGACACCTGTATCCTGTGCCATTGACTCACTTGAGCGTTTAATAGTATCTTTGGGTCCCAGAGTGTATTTTTAGCTCATCACCGCGCATCACCTTGAATTTCGCTGGTCACCCTCTGGCTGGGATGGTAATGGGAAGAAATGATGTTCTTCATTCTAAAACCTTCATGCGGATGTTTAAAGTTAGGTGCTTTTTGGCACCATGTCAGTGCAGTACAGAAGTAGTTGTGTTTGGCTGGCCTTTTAGAGTCCTTTCATAGGCCGCATGCTTAAGATACAGAAGATAAACAAGTTCATGGAAATTACTCAAACTGTGGCCTTTTGCAGAGTGACTGCATGTCAGTTAGCTGCGTGTATATCTTTCTCAGTGAAGTTACAGTATCAACTTGGCACTTGGTTCATACCTAGGTCAGTTAGAAACACAGCGGTACAAGTGGAGCAAATGATTTTATAAGGAATGAGTGGGCAGGCGGAGAGTGCTTGGTATCTTGACTCTGGCCCTTTTCCCAAGGTCGCTTCCTAGAATCCCATCTGATAAAGGTTGTTAGAGTAGTGTTGCCCCTTAGAATGAGTGTCACATTGTAGATCCCTTCATCTGCTTTCTCTCTGTGCGATACTAGTTATCTTTGGTTTATGGCTGCCGAGGTCGTCATGTTTTAGTGACTCGCAACAGCAGAAGTCCGCTGAGCCTCTCACAGTAAACTCTGGTTTGGACTGGTTTGAGAAGGCCTAGAAGTCAACCTAGAAACACCATTTTGATTTTTATCTCAAGATTAGTACACAGATTAATGTTCAGGAATTTTCAGAATGGGATTTGAAGCTACAGACTTTAAGAAATTATTGTAACCAATTTGTAGGCCATTACTGCTTCCAGTGATTGAGACTTAACTAAAAACTCTAGCTCTAAAAATTTACAGGAAAAGTCTGTTTTAAACCAACCCAAGCCCAGAAACTTTCAAAATTAAGGTAGCTATGGTTTCTTTAGCCCGAAAGGATTTTTTTTTAAACATTTTTATAACGTGATTACTGTTACAGAGGGTCCGTCCTTCATGGGGTGCACTCATTTGTCATGTGCTTCTAGTTGTCTTTCTAGTAGGATGAGCTTACACCGCTCCATCCAGTCTCCATCATTTCAGAGTGCATGCTCTTATACAAGGTACTGTTCTCATTGTCCTTCTGTACTTTATTACTGTCTGGGAGCTCAGTTTTATGAGATACCTGGCCAGAGATAAGGTTGGAGCCTGTGGATATAGAATAATGCAGGAACAGGTCTGTGCAAGACTTTAAGCATACCCCACTATGTTAAGTACACAGACCCTAATGTATTGGAACTGTCTGAAATGCAAAATGGTGCTTTTATTCTGTGTTTTTCAATTTTAGTTGAGGTTGGTTTTATTAAATTAGGCAGACCTGGATTTAAATCCCAAGTCTGCCACTTGTTATGTGATCTTGGGTTAAGTTTCTTAGTGTCTTTGATTTGGTTTCCTCATTTCTAAAATGGGATTAAGAATAAAACCTACCTGCCCTGGCCAGTTGCTCAGTGGTTAGAGCGTCAGCCCTTGGACTGAAGGGTCCTGGGTTTGATTCTGGCCAAGGGCGTGTACCTCAGTTGCAGGTTCAATCCCCGGCCCGGGGCACGTGCCAGAGGCAACCAATCGATGTTTCTCTTTCTCTCTGTCTCTCTCCCACTCTCTGAAAAAACAATGGAAAAATATCCTCAGGTGAGGCTTAGGGACTGTGACATGCCCTCTTTGAGACTCAGTTTCCTTCTCTGCCTTATTTTGAGGAAGTGAGAGATATGAAGTAATTTTTCAAAAAGTATCTAGCAAGGTTACAGTAACAAACCTTGATATGTGGAGGATGTTACTAAGATTATTAATTAAGTAAAATGTTGATACAGAATTTTAATGCTGGTCCATGAGAAAATACGGTGCTTTTTCACACTGTTGATAATCTAATTCAGATCAGTATCATTTTAACTCCTGGTAGAAAGAATTAGTAAATATTCTTTGTGCAAGTTAAAACAAACTGCCTATAAAAGTCCTGGTGTAAAGTAATAAGCCAATTGAAGAAAACAAATCTTGTGAAAGAAAAAACTTGGGTGATTTAAAAAAACAAACCAACCCTCATTGCCAATTGCTCTAAGGATTGCAAACTTCACTTTAGGTAGTGTGCATAGGGTTTGGAATAAGGCACGCCCGGTTGAAGCAAGGCACAATTCTCTTTCTGCTGTATGACACTGACTAAGTTAGTCACCGTCTCTGAATCCCAGTTTCCTTACCAATAGAAGGAATATGACAAGCTATCCCAGAGCTGTGAGCATAAAAATGAAATAGTAGTTGGTCAGGTCCCGTTTCCCCACCCCCATTGTTTCAAGTCCTTGAGTACCTTAAACAGAGTCACTGAGGTAATTGCATAACTAGTTATGTGTGCTCTTTCTTAGGATGAATGAAATGAACCTGAGCCCGGTGGGGATGGAGCAGCTGACTTCATCCTCTGTGAGCAATGCCTTGCCAGTCTCAGGGAGTCACCTGGGGTTGGCTGCCTCACCCACTCACAATGCCATCCCTGCCCCAGGTGAGTGGTAAGGGACAGCGACTGAATTTCAACACTTATTGCCTTATCAATTCTAAAAAGAGCCCAGACGGGGTCAGAGCCCCTTTAAGAGTGGAAGGGAGAAGCCGCTCAGGTCTGAATGGCAGTTCCACATGTGGTTGCACATGGGAGAAAACATTTTTGTAGAGTAGTGGAGTGCTCGTGGATAGGGGTAGCAGTTTTTTCTGATAAAAACTTCTTCAGTCGGTGAACTTTTATCTAGAGCTGTAACTGACTGTGCATTTTATCTAAGATTACCTGTTTATCTTGGCACTCTGTCCCTGGCTTAATAGAGAACAGCCAAAGTTACTCTAATAAATTTTCTTAGAGAGCTTGAGAAATTGAGCTTTGTTTTCTACGACATCTGAAATTGGCAACTGCACATATGCCAGCTTGGAATTATTGGGAAAGTGGAGGCCCCCGAGATGGAGCTCCTACATGGAACCCCCACGGGCCTCAAGAGAATGCTAGTACAGGAGAAGCTCATTGTCCCTATCACTGTATTTTAAAAACCTTTTTTACTTGCCTAGCTTAATTTTCTTTTACTTTTGAATCAAGTAAGCTAGTGATTCCTAAGGCATTGTAATGTATCAGACCGTCTTTTTCAAAATAGGAGTTAATGCTTAAGAGTATTTGAATCTGTAAGTTGTTTAAATAGTTCTCTATAGAGAATTACTTGCTTAATTACTAAAATGCAGCAAGTTAAATAAGTTTCATCATAACTAGGGCTCTTTACATTCCTTTAAGTGTCCATAAAAATATATATTTTTTAATTTATTGGTTGTTAGTCCATTTGATTATCTCTTAGGCATTCCTGTTAGTGGACACTCTTGTTAATGAGGAAAAGCCTATTAAAAAATATCGCCCCAGCCCAGCTGGTGGGGATCAGTGGTTGAGCATTGACCCGTGAACCAGGAAATTGAGGTTTGATTCCCGGTCAGGGCATATCCTGGGTTTTGGCCTCAGTCCCCAGTGGGGGAGGTGCAGGAGGCAGCCCATCAGTGACTCTTTCATCAATGATGTTTCTCTCTCTCCCTCTCCCTTCCTCTTTCTGAAAGCAATAAAAATATATTTTTTAAAAAGATTGCCGCTGGCAAAAATAATGCAAATTGGTGAGTGTTCATTATGATGCTTAGGCACAGTGAGAGTCACTTCAACACTTTGGAGACAGTTATAATTCAAGGTAGATACAATCTAAGGGTTATATTTTTTTAATCATAAAGTACAGCATATATGCAAAAGACTATATGTAAGTATATATATAGTTTTACATCTAACTTTAAACTAGATTATTTTCTAAGTAAAAGCATATCTGTGAATTTTTAAAAGTGAAACATTCTCACTGTGTGAAGTGGAAACTAATGAAGTAAAAATATGTTTAAAAAAACAACCCGCCCGGCCGGGCATGGCTCAGCTGTTGAGTGTTGACCTGGGATCCAGGCGATAGGGATTCGATTCCTAGTCAGGGCACATGCCCGGGTTGTGGGCTCGATCAGTGACTCTCTCATCATTGATGCTTCTATCTCTCTCTCTCCCTCTCCTTTCCTCTCTCTGAAATCAATAAAGATATATTTAAAAATAATAATAATAAAATAAAAAAACAACCCTGTAATATTACTGTTCAGAGACCACTCTTATGAACTCTGGTATGTTTCTTCCTATTTTTGTATCTTTATATAATTTGATTTCTTAAATCGTATTTAAACTAGGTTTTTAGTTGTAATTAAATGTTTGGTACTAAGAGCAATTTGGTATTTTGAAAGTAACTTGAGAACTAACTTGAGACCTGTTTGTGGATGTACCTATCTGAGATGTAAACGGCTACTCTGAGATTTTTGCTCACATGTAGCAACCTTTCTAAGAGTTTAGCCAGTGTTTGTATTACTTTCAGGTGTACAGCATAGTGGTTAAACACAGTACTTCCTTTTAATTGAGAAAAACGTGTTTTTTTTTGTAGGCCTGCCAGTGGCAATTCCAAACCTGGGGCCCTCCTTGAGTTCTCTGCCATCTGCTTTGTCTCTGATGCTCCCAATGGGTATTGGCGATCGAGGAGTGATGTGTGGGTTACCTGAAAGAAACTACACCCTACCTCCACCACCTTACCCCCACCTGGAGAGCAGTTACTTCAGAACCATTCTACCTGGTAAGTATTATAGTTCTTTGGGAAGTTAGAAGAAAGAATAGGTTTGACTCTTAACCTCAGTGCATGAAAATTTGAATAATGATTTTTTGTTTGTCACGAGATATTAATATCTAGGTTAGGAAAAACTATCTGTTTATATTTATGTACTTTTCCTTTTAGAATGTACAGATAATACATTATTAATATAGTAGTTTGACTGAACTTAATTTTCTAATGGCACTTAAGCAGTGTGTCTCCTCTCTCCTCCAGCATCTCCTTGGTTCAGTTTATAAAATTCTGCAGTTGTAATTCCTGCCAACCACATGTTCTTCTACACTGTCATTGTTTATTACAAAGTTTGTTGAATTTTTATTCTGTTATAAAACTATTATATACTCATTTCAGATAATTTAGCAAAAAGGAGAACCATTCATAGTCCCATTATCCATATTTTTGGTTTATTTCCTTCCTGTCTTTTATTTTGATGTATAGATTTTACTGTTTCTTTGTAATTAAGACTATATTTTTATACAATTGTGTATCCTTTCTCCACTAATATTTTTCTCTATTTTTTCATAATTATTTTCCCCAGCTTCTACATGGTTTTATAATATCCTTTTCAATGATGCATTATATTCTACTGAATGAATATTTCGTGGTTTATTGTATCAGTCTTTATTTTTTGATAATTTGTTTTTTTCCATTTTTTTATTACCATTATATGAACATCTTTGTGTATAATATCTACAAAATGCATTTAGGGAAGATTTCTGTAAGTGGAGTTTCTTATGCAAGAGGTTATGAATGTTTTTGAGGTTCTTAATATGTATCCTTTCCCAAGAGGTTTGAGTAATTTATACTCCTAGCAATGCAGCAAGTTCCATTTCACTACATCCTCACAAGCACGAGTGTTCAGATATTTTTTCTGTTGTAATAAAGCAGGTACAGTTATGACTTGTTTTGAATAGAGCATAGTGTTATGATAGTTTAATAAGTTATATTTAATTAAATTTTATTTTTCACATGGAAGATCTGCTTTTAAATCATTTTACCTTTTAACTCTTAGCAAATTTCAGCATCTTAGGACTCAGGAATTCCAACCATGTATATAGTAAAGGCAACATGTAAATGATTAATTTCCAGTGACTTCAAAGGAACATAGTTAATTTTTTATGATTTCTGAGTTTCACAGGAAAAACTGAATTATGGGGTATGTATGTCGCTATTTATATATTGATTAAACCAAAGAAGTAGCTAGGAGAATATTTTAATTTAGTTATATTTGTAGCTTCTAGCATTTGGAGTTCTTTATTTTAACAATGTACTAAAAAATCTATCTCATCTTTTCCTTTTCTCAGGCATTTTATCTTATTTAGCTGACAGACCACCTCCTCAGTACATCCATCCCAACTCTATAAATGTTGATGGTAATGCAGCATTGTCTATTGCCAGTAACCCTTCAGCACTAGATCCCTATCAGTCCAGTGGAAATGTTGGATTAGAACAAGGCATTGTTTCCATAGACTCTCGCTCTGTGAACACACATGGTGCCCAAAGTCTTCATCCCAGTGATGGCCATGAGGTGGCCTTGGACACAACAATCACTATGGAGAACGTCTCTAGGGTTACCAGCCCCATCTCTACAGATGGAATGGCAGAAGAGCTTACAATGGACAGTGTTGCAGGCGAGCATTCTCAAATCCCAAATGGCTCCAGAAGTCATGAACCTCTGGCTGTGGATTCTGTGAGCAACAACCTTGCAGCAGACACTGTAGGGCATGGTGGTGTGATACCCATTCATGGGAATGGCCTGGAGCTCCCCGTGGTCATGGAGACAGACCACATTGCAGGTCGGGTCAACGGGATGTCTGACAGTGCACTCAGTGACTCCATCCATACCGTGGCCATGAGCACCAACTCTGTAAGCGTGGCACTCTCTACCTCACACAACCTCGCCTCCCTAGAATCCGTTTCCCTCCACGAAGTTGGCCTAAGCCTAGAACCTGTGGCTGTGTCCTCTATCACCCAGGAGGTTGCTATGGGGACAGGTCATGTAGATGTGTCTTCAGACAGTCTTTCTTTTGTACCACCTTCACTGCAAATGGAAGACTCCGATTCAAACAAGGAAAATATGGCAACCCTGTTTACAATTTGTGAGTGTGCTTAGCTGTTTTCTGGTAATATTTGTGGAAAGGGCCATCACCCCATCAGGCTTAGGCACAAAGTCAAGTTCTAAAGGGGTATAGAAAGTAACTAGGCTTTGCAATTTTCTTTGCCTTTGTAGGGTCCATTATGTTAATGTGCCTTTTCCTCAAGTAAGCCAAATGATATGTAGACGTTTCATTGGTTCTTACAACATCCTCCTGAAGTAAGGAAACAGTCATTTCTGTTAGCTTAAACCAATAATACGTAAGGTATTTCCCAAGGTTTCCCAAGTAGAGAGTTTATTATAGGAATAAACTTTAGTAAGTTTTTCTGTGTGACATGCCTTATGCTCTTGTGACATAAAACATTAGATCATGTGTACTTTTCATCCCTATGGAGAAATGTAGGTGGATTCAAATGCAATTTTGTTTTTGCTCTGAATGCATACAAATTGCCATAGTAGGGCATGTAAAAGTTCTTTTTACGGGGCAACAAAAAGTAGTATAAAAACAATTTGTTGGTGTCACTGCATGCTTCATTCATGCAGGAAACATGTCGATTGCTTATTATATGCCAACTTCTGCTGGATGCTGGGGAGAAAACCGTCTATAAGAGACAGCACATCCTCTAAGGAGCTTGTAGGCTGATGGGAAGTGTAGGCGAGTAAACAGGCTATTGTTGTACGGTGATAGATGTAAAGATGGGAGTAAGAGCAAGGTGCTAAAGGAGCCTAAGGACGGGGAGCACCTAACGAGGGCATGGAGGAGGCAGGGAAAACTTACCAGGGGAGGTGTCGTGCGTGGTAGCTCAGAGCTGAAGGACAAGAAAGCTGTTGGCAGTTGAGAACCAGGGAGGATAGTGTCCCAGATAGGTCTGGTTCCCTTTAAGGGCCTAGAACTAAAAGAATCACGAGTGGTTCAGAAATGCTGAAGCACCAAATGGGGGCGAGGAGAGGGGTGCGTGATGAAAGAAGGAGGAGCTAGAACTCAGAGGGTGTATTCTGGAAGTAATACAGTGTTATTTTTTTGATCAGTCTCTCTCTTATGCACTGAATAGGAAACTTGTTGGGTCAAAAGGGGAAAAAAATCACATCTTGCTGAAGAGAGATGAGTTGATACATATTTTAGTGTAAGAGAAGTTCTTTGATTAGACTGTTTCTACAGGAACCTTGCTTCTTACTGGTTAGTAATTAGTGTTTAACTAGAAAAGCAGGTGGTAATGTAGCCTTCTTGAAATAAACCCATTTGTGTTTCTCAAATTTTCCTTCTGCAGGGTGCACACTTTGTGACCGAGCCTATCCCTCTGACTGCCCCGATCACGGACCAGTGACTTTTGTTCCTGACACTCCAATAGCGAGCAGAGCGAGGCTTTCTCTCCCCAAGCAGCTTGTCCTCCGCCAGTCAATTGTGGGAGCAGAAGTTGGTAAGAGCCGTGGAATCATAAAGCCCCATTAGATCTCTTCTTTCTTTGAAAAGTAAAGTTGTAAAAGTGCATGTGTATAATTTAGCGATTATGTGGTTGATCCAAAAGTTGATTTATGGTTTACAGTTTATCCTTTTGGGGAATATTTGCCTTGTCCAGTGGTGATAGGAATAAGTTGAATGGGAAATGTCATTGGAAATGTTCCCCTTTCTTAGAGTCAGAATTGAACAGAGGAGAGGATCCCGGCCCGAGTCTCTGAAGACTTCACTTTTATTCTCTTGGTAGCATCCACTGAGAATTACCGTGACAGAACATTCCTTGAAACTTCTTTCTTTTACAGAAATGGAAAATTTACCACTAATAGCCATTTACCGCAGAAGATACTGAGATGAGTGTGTGTAAATTGTCTGACACTCCTAGGAGAAAGGAATAAGGAATGTAGCCTGCCAGAGGGTGCCACCCTATTTGACTTTGACATGGTTTCTGGAGTACTGTGCCCTGTCTTTGAAAGTCTGAGTCAAAGTTCATTATTCTTTTTTTTTAAAAATATATCTTTATTGATTTCAGAGAGAGGAAAGGAGAGGGGGAGAGAGAGAGATAGAAACATCAATGATGAGAGAGCCATTGATCGGCTGCAGCCTGAAACCCGGGCATGTGCCCTGACCGGGAATCGAACCCCGATTGCCTGGATCCTAGGTCGACGCTCAACCCCTGAGCCACGCCCGGCCGGGCCAAAGTTCATTATTCTTTAGCTGTAGCTTGGGCACGATGCCAGTTGAAAGCATTACACAGTTTAGATAATACAGAGCAGTGCTTTAAGCACAAACAATTTTAGAAGTTTAATTTATTTTGAAGCAGTTGCTTTATATTTTTATAATATAATATTCTCTAGTCTTTTAGTGTAATAACTCCAAAGTAACATATTTGGAGGAACATGGTTTGGTTCGTTGTGTATAAAACTGGGTTCAGGAATTTCTGATACTACTTTGCATATTTCTTCTGGGCCCCATTTAACCTGTTCATTTCATTTTACGTATTATAGGATATACCCATAAGACTCAGCTACCTCTCAGGAGTTGTGGAATATCAATAGTTCTTAGGTTCACTGAAAATAAGATCTCTTTGCATGGGTTAAGCTACTCTCTCTCCTGTGTCCTCTGAGGTGTTTAAGCCACTGATTGTGAGTGGGTGCCCTTCACTGACAGGTGTATGGACTGGAGAAACCATTCCTGTGCGGACTTGCTTTGGGCCTCTCATTGGCCAGCAAAGTCACTCCATGGAAGTAGCAGAGTGGACAGACAAGGGAGTTAACCATATCTGGAAGGTCAGTGTTTGTGAAACTTTTGTGTGACATTTGGATGTTTGTATTTTAATGTGGTGGTTAAAAGTGATGTAAGTCAAAATTAGCCATGACGCATACAATGCCATTCACCTGTCATTTATTATTACATCCTTTCTGTTCTTGGTAGGCAAGTTATTATATATTACATGGCAAACAGCAGCTATTTGAGTGTAGCGGATAAGCTGTTTTAGTCTCCATTTGTTAGATAGTCAAAGGATTCTGCTCTTTAAATACTTGTGACAGCTGAGGCTATGGGCTTTGTTTATATGATGAAAGTCTTATTTTATAATCAACTAAAACATTTCTCAAATTTTTAGCATGGAAAACAATTCTAGAATTAGAAGGTAAGATTATTTCTCTAGTTTTCCAAAGGGAGGACTGAAAGCACAGGGTTTTGACATAACTTGTCCTGTAACATGTTTATATCAAATCTTAGTAGACTGGGAATGATGCTTTAGAATTGAAGTAAGGGGAAAGTGGGTCCTGTGATAATTGGAAAGTAAGGTGCCATTATTAGGGACTTCGACTGTGGTATCCAAAAGGGAACATAGGAGAAGGCTAGGTCCTTCGGGAAAGGAACGAGGAGATGGTTCTCTGACCTTCATATTCATTCAGTCATTCTTTGCCATGTGGCAGGTGATGAAGACAAGTAGATTGTTTTGTTTTGGTCTTTTCCAGTCAAACCAAAATGTGAATAATGAAGAACACTGTCATTGTATACACTGAACCCCAAGTAGGTCTCTGATTGCTGGCAGTAGGGGGACAGGTGAAATGCAGACACGTGAGAAGGCAGCCACGTATTTCACCCTGGCTAGGAAAGCTGGTCTCTACTGAAACTAAATGAGATTGCTAGCCTTAGTTTCATAGTGTTTTGTGTCAGCTCATTTGAAGTATATGTTTGCCTTCTGTTGGCAGATATACCACAATGGTGTCCTAGAATTCTGCATTGTTACAACTGACGAAAATGAATGTAATTGGATGATGTTTGTGCGCAAAGCCAGGTAAGAGTAGTCTTGGATGAGAGAAATTGTTATGATTCAGTTGTTTTTCAATAGGAAGCTTTGGGTAAAATGGGGAGGAGTTGAAACTACAGAGAACAGATATCTGCACATACTTTAAGGCCCAAGGCTTTTCACCTTCACTCCGGTAGTTGTTGACTAGTGTAAATGAAAACACAAGAAACTATCCTTTTCTTCAATGAACAGACTGTTCAGGTTACCAGTGTGGTAAGGAATAATGATACTGTTACCATTGCATTGCCCACTGGGTGCCTTCTCTTTACATTGACTTGTAGTTAATTCTTGTTCAGCTATCTATCTCTGTGTCTTTGTCATAAAGTTTTTTTCAAGACGTATTTTCTTGCTTTCAGTAACAGACTGTAGTGTTTCTAACTGTAAAGGGTGATAAACTGATATACCGAAGGAAGAATTCTGTTTCTATACCTATCCCTCATAGTAGGTAGGATATGGAATTAGAAAAATGACTCAGATAAATTATCTCCAAGTTTTCTTAGAGGATTTGCTATAGGGATATGACGTGCTTAGTGTATATTTCAAAATTAATGTGCTTGATCTATTACATGTGGTAATTTAGGAACCGGGAAGAGCAGAATTTGGTGGCTTATCCCCATGATGGAAAAATTTTTTTCTGCACCTCACAAGATATCCCTCCTGAAAATGAACTGCTTTTTTATTACAGCCGGGATTATGCTCAGCAGATTGGTAAGTTAATGTTAAGACTTGTTTATTACGAATCTAGCATAGTAAAAACACCAAGGACCAAAAGTAAAGTTTTGATTTAAAGATCACCTGAAACCAATCATATACCTTTGTATATATGAAAGCAGGGCATTACCCCTCTGTTAAAAGCTTAAAATCTGTGAGGTTCTTCATAAGCTGAATGCTACTGACCAAGCAGTGTTCATATGAAATGACCTTTTATGTTAGGACATTGATTTGGGGAATGTGAAATTCCGTGGGCTGCTTTCCGAGCCAGTGCCATTGCAGTTTAAGTTCGTAAAGGACAGCAAAACTCCTTGAACTGATTAACCCTCATGGGCTTTTTCTTTGCACTGTGTCATGATGATACATGATGAGTTTGTGTGTGCTACAGAATCAATTATTTTGCCTAGGAAATATGCCTTGTAGTCTGGTATTTATAAGTGCTTCCTATGTTTCTGGCACTATTCGAGAGGCTGGGAATAGAGCACTGAACAAGACATTTTGTTTTTATAGGTAATGGGCAAGATGGAAATTTTGGTGGAAGGGAAAAATTGTAAGCAAAATTGCTAAAATTAAGAATAAGCTTTAAAACTTAAATATCAAGAGATACTGAGTAATTTTTTTCTTAAAGGTGTTCCTGAACACCCAGATGTGCACCTCTGTAACTGTGGCAAGGAGTGCAATTCCTATACTGAATTCAAAGCCCACCTGACCAGCCACATCCATAACCATCTTCCTAGCCAGGGCCACAGCAGCAGCCACAGGCCCAGCCACAGCAAAGAAAGGAAGTGGAAGTGCTCAATGTGCCCCCAAGCTTTTATCTCTCCTTCCAAACTTCATGTCCACTTTATGGGCCACATAGGCATGAAGCCGCACAAGTGTGACTTCTGTAGCAAGGCCTTTAGTGATCCCAGCAACCTGCGGACCCACCTCAAGATACATACGGGTAAGTTGTATAGGACCATCAGAGTGGAATTTTGCAGCTATTAGAAATTGCAGTAGTAAAGGTAGAGTTGAGGTAAGATGTTAGAGAATGAATCCGCCGGCAGTTAGCAGGATTTCATTGGGTGGTAAATCTTGGTGGGATAACTGCGCTTCCTTAGAGGGTGTCACTTCCAGTTATTAAGATGCTCCACTTCCCAGGCGCCCAGGTGACTGGGAAAATGCAGTTAATAACCAGGAAGTTGATTCATTTGCTTGAACTTAAAGAGGATTCTGTGAAAATAGCCTGAGCCTCCCGTTAGGGCTCACTGCTGGTCACTAGTTCTCTCCTTTGAATATTGCTCAGTAAACACTGCCAGAATTTCATTTTTGAGTTTCCATTTTCTAAGCTCCATGCAAAGCAGCCCCTTTCTTTTAGCACTTACAGTTACTTACAGTTTTCATACATACTACAGAATAACTAACAGCGTTTTTGTTTTCTTGGCTGGGTCATTTGTTCACAGAATCTTCGACAGTAAAATTCTTTCTCATCCTTTGCATTAGGACTGAGTAGTCATGGCAGAGACTGTATGTCCCACAAAGCTTAAAATACTGACTAGTCTTTGAGAAATGTTTGCTAACCCCTGACTTAGCATCATCTGATTTCTTCATTCACAGAAGAATCTTACATCATTCATGCTATATGTTTAAGAAAAGAGAATACTATAAATTTAGGTTGTAAAAATATGTTTACCTATAGACTGGGCCCTACGACTAAAAGTGATTTTTTTCAGATTTTATATCGTGTCTGCTGTAAACATTAAAATATATATATACATGTAAGCAGTCCTAGGAGGTCAGATTTATTAGCTTCACTAGTGCTAGTTGCTGAATATAAATTCAGTGGCTCTGAGTGGTTCTGGGTAGATAGCCCTAGAAAGTGAAGTTCCAGCTACCAGTCAGTTCTGTTTTATTCTGGCCTTTGCCCCACACTCCTATGTGGCCTGTTCATCTTGAGAGTGCTAGTGGTTGTTTTACTCACAGTGTGATACTTTGGGTTAACGTGCAGGTCAGAAGAACTACAGGTGTACTTTGTGCGACAAGTCTTTCACCCAGAAGGCTCACCTGGAGTCGCACATGGTTATCCACACGGGCGAGAAGAATCTCAAGTGTGATTATTGTGACAAGTTGTTTATGCGGAGGCAGGACCTCAAGCAGCATGTGCTTATCCACACACAGTAAGTTACCCCACAGCCAAGATGTTCCCCAGGTGGTGAGCTGAAGGCTGACCTATTGTTTGTGTCCTGACTTGGCCCCCTGGGAGGGGTCCCCCATGCTCCATATAGCCAAGGAGAAGTCGGACAATGAAGGTTTTGGTTTTATCCTGGAAGGTTCCACTTGTTTGCTTTGTTTTTCTTATTTTTCACTTTTACTCTCTGTATTTACTTTTTTATTACAGTTTTTTTATTTTTGAATCCTCTCTTGAGGATATGTTTTTATTGATTTGAGAGAGAGAGGAAGGGGGAGAGAGAGAGAAACATTGATTGGTTGCCTCCCAAATGCACCCCGACCTGGGATCAAACCTGAAACCTAGGTATGTGCCCTGACTGGGAATCGAACCCGCAACCTTTTGGTGTGCAGGACAATGCTCCAACCAAGTGAGCCACCGGCCAGGGCTCTGGGTTTACTTGTATTCACATTTTCAAAACAAAATCTTATTTACTTAACAAATGTTTAAGTACCTCTTTGGTACCCAGCATTGTGCTAAGTAGTGCAATACAGAGATGAAAGACACAGTCGTTGGCTTTAAACAGCCCAAAGTCCAGTAAGAGAAGCAACAGTAAAATTACCACACAGTGTTGCAGTTGTCAGAGAAAGCATTGCGTCCTGAAAGACCATAGGAAAGAGGGTCACCTAACTCGGCCGGGGCTGTCCTGGGAAAGGTTTCTGGTAGTTTGAGCTGAGTGTAAAAGAAGATAAATTAGAATTGTTCAGGAAGGCACAGAAGGATAAGGGATGGGAATAGTATTGTAGACAGAGGGAACGGCATATTTAGGAACACAGATGCACAGGGGCTGTGGAATGCAAGTGTGCTTCATAGAGCACAGTGCTGTGCGAGAGAGATGGAGCGAGGCGGCAGCACATCACGAAGAGTCGTTCATCCAGCGAAGACGCTTACATCCTGGAAATAATGGGGATCCACTAAAGGATTTTTCCTCCCCATGTACTGGGCACTGCTGTGTGCTGTGTGTGTGTGTGTGTGACTTTTAAAATTATGGTTAAAACATAACAAAATTTACGATCATTTTCAGATTCACAGTTGAGTAATGTTAAGTATATTCACATTGTTGTGGGAACACTGAAGAGTTTTAGGGCAAAGAATGTCATAGTGAGAGGTCCATTTTGTAAAGCTTGCTCTGGCAGTGACAGGGTGATTAAAGGAGGAGACTTCCAAATATCTGGAGACTCGTTCAGAATTTATTGCATGAATCTCAGTGTAATTAAATGTTTAGCCTGCATTAGTCACAGTAGTTGTAGGGAGAAGGGAAGAGATTTTGTGGTCCTGAGCCGTTAGCCACGTGTCAGAAGAGGGAGAAAACATTAGCTTATATGTGATGGAGGTATTTTTTAAAAGTTTGTCTTCAGTGGAAACTGTATTCTTATTGTCGAGTTTAGATAAATACTTTGCTTTAATATCAGCTCTTTTGTCTGATTCCTAATCACAGTGCAACCTGAACCACTAAAGCATCCAGAGGGTCTAGATCTACATTCCTAACTCAAAGTTATATTTTAAAACAGTCTTATTAGTTTCATTATTAGTGTGAAATTTTAGAGCTTAGACACACTATCAAATATTTTGTAGAATTGTACATTACTACAGCTGAAAGAGATCTCTGGGATCATTTAGTCTTGCTGCTTACATTAGTCAGCTCAAGTTGCCATAACAAAGTACCCTAGACTGCTGGCGTAAACAACAGTAATTTTCTTACACTTCTGGAGGCTGGAAGTCTGAGGTCAGGGTGTCAGCATGATTAGCTTCTGACGAGGGCCCTCTTCCTGGCTTGCAGATGGTTGCCTTTTGCTGTGGTTTCACATTAGTGGAGATAGTGAGCTGGCTCTAGTCTCTCTTCCTCTTAGAGGGACACTAGTCCCATCATGGGGGTCCCACCTCATGGCCTCATCTAAATCTAATTACCTTGCATAGTTACCCATCTTCAGATGCCATCACATTGTAGGTTAGGGCTTCAACATACAAATTTGTAGGTGGAGGCACAACATCCAACCCATAACAATGCTCACAATAACCACCTAGAAAATGTGAAAAATAAGAGTTGGTGCCAAGGCCCCACCTCCAGGGATTCTAATTTAGTTGGTAAATGGTAGAACCCTGGTATTGATTTTTAAAAAAAAGCTTCCCAAGTGACACTGATTTCTAGCCAGTGTTAAGAGCTACGGAGTTCATCCAAAGAAAAGACTTGCTTCCACAGTATCTCTGGCAAGTAGTTATTTCTTCTCAGATACCACATAATTGATTTAGTTTTGAGGAAAAGTTTTTCTTTAAGCTTGTATCAGCCTGTATCCATTTATTCTACATCTGTCCTCTGGAATGATAACCATAAATTTAATATTTCTTTGCATTGATAGCCTTTCATATTTATGATCACTGTTGTGGTCCCTTTAACCCATCAGGCCAAATGTCCCTAATTTCTGCAACTTTTTGTCCTGTCAACTAGTTTCAAATCTGGCACCCTGAGTGAACACAGAATTCCAGATGTGATCTGTTCAGGAGATAACATAGTAATTACTTCTTTGACCTTGGCTTTCTCTTCTTTCAAGTGATGCCTAAATTTGCACTTGTTTTTGTAGCCATTTCACAGTGTAATGCCATCTAGGTTATTTTGAGATTAGTTGTGTAACTGTTTCTCACCATTTGGGTTGAAAATTGTCTTTATCAGGTACTGAGCAATGAAAACAATTCTCTTAAATGTAGATCTGGACTCTGTCGGGATGACAAGATAGAATAAGTCTCTTTGCCAAACTCCGTGGGATAGAAAGAAGTTTTTGGATTGATAAAACTTTACACTAGTGTAGGTCATTCACAAAAGAAACACTACTCACTCAAAGTATATTTGAATTAGACTGGAGGCTTCCTGTAGAGATCACTGGAAACATTTTCAGGTGTTGTATTTTTACTTCTAGGCATTTCAAAATGGATCGTCGTATTGGAAGTCATTCTGCTTATCTGCTTAGAAAAGAAAATAGCTATAGTCCTAAAGCCAAATGCAGGAGGGAGGTGTTCCTATCTCACCGTGTTCCCATCTCACCGTGTTCCCCTGAGTGTGTGAGGCATGTGGCAGAAACTGGCTTTGCCCTTCCTCTAAGAAAGAGGAACTTGAGAGCAAAGATGGTGACACTCCCTAGGTCATCTTAGTCCCATGGCTTTAGGTTTCATCTTTATGATTTATATTTCAAGCCTTATATATCTAACCATTGACTCAGCATCTCTGAGTTTTGGATGTCCATTAGGCAACTCAAACCTGACATGTCCAAATCTCAGCTCTTAATATTATCTCTACACACTGGGGTTTCCTTCAGTGCTCACCAGCTCAGTAAATGGCACCACCATTCATCCCAGTTGCTCAAGCCAAACACCTTGGAGTCATCCTTAATTTGGTTTTCCTTCAACTCATCTACTCCAGACCACTTCAGAAGTCTCCCAGTGACCTCCCTGCTTCTGCTGCGCTCTCATCGATTCATTCCCCAGCACAGGTGCACACACACAAAACCTGGATTCTGCCTGTGCGGCAGAGGAATCCATTTAAAACAAAGCAGGTTGATTGAGCCCAGCCCTCCTTTCTCCAGTGGGCTTCCGCTCATCCCTTCTATCTTTCTTGTGTTGGATTGAAAGGCCTTTTCTGTAGCCCAGAAGCCCTTCATGATGTGGAGGTACTTGGCTGCCTCTCCCAACTCATCCTCATTATTTGTCTCCTCTTCTGCTGTAGCCCCAGTGGCCCCCTCCTTGCTGCTACTTCAGCTTACTAAACACACTCCAGCCTCGGGGACTAGGTGCCGTACAGCATCTGCCTAGAAGCCTCTCCCTGTCCTCCCTCACTTCAGTCAGGTTTCTGTTCAGATGTCATCTCAGAATGGCCTTCCTTGACCATCTTACCTAAAATAAGATTCCATCACTCTTACCTGGCTTCATTTTTCCCCCTGTAGTACTTATTACTCTCTGCTATCATGCTATATATTTTTTTGTTTATGGTGTAACTTGACTAGAATATAAGCTCCATGAAAGCAAGGACTTAGTTTTCTACAATCTGTAGCTCTGCAGAATCCTCCAGTGTCATCTCCTGCTGGGAGGAGCCGGTAGAAATGCTAAGAGTGGCCAGGCTTCAAACTTCCCACTGTACCTTACCAATCCTTCAAGGATTGTAACCCCGTTTTATCTGTTTCATATATTAAGCTTTCATTAAGACATAAAGTTCAGCTGCTCAAAGGTTATAAATTCCTGGTCTGTATGATCTCTAAGGTTCTCTTAGCTCTCAAATGTCTAGGTCAGGGTTACTCAAACCTTGGCACTGACATTTTGAGCTGGATAATTTTTTGTCGTAGGGGTTACCATTGACACCATAGTGAAACACAATTGTAGACTGGCCAACTGGCTAACATTTTCAGACTTGAGTTTTCCAGGTGTTGGTGAGAGTGTAGGCAGCAGGAACTCTCAAATGGCTGTTGATGGATGTGTATGTTGACCCACATGTATGTTAGCTTCATCTAGTAGAGCTGAAGATATGCATATGTTTTGATCAGCTATACTGCTCCTGAGTATGTTGCGCTAGAGAAACCAACATGTAGGTCTAGAAATGTTGGTAGCAGTCTTGCCTGTGATAACAAAAAACTGGAAATCACCAGAATATCCATTAACAAAAGATAAGTTGTGTATGTGTAAGTACTGTGCAGCAGTGTCAAGGAACAAACTATGGGTACCTGCAGCAACTTGAATGACTTTCACAGATATATTGAGTAAAAGAAGCAAAAGACAAAAAGGTGCACACAGTATGGCCCATTCACATGGAATGTCCAAACAGGCGGGGTCAAGCCACGCCGTGTAAACTAGGCAGGCGTTTTATGACTTGCACGTGTGATACACCTCATAGAAGGTCTGATTCCAGACCGGTGGAGCTTCTCTGACCAGGTCCTGAGATGGAAGAGTCTGCGTGGGCCTCAGTCATTTGTAACCCAAATCCAATGTCTTTTCTGTGTTCCTCCTAGAGAACGCCAGATCAGGTGTCCCAAGTGTGACAAGCCGTTCTTGAGAACAAATCATTTAAAGAAACATCTCAATTCTCACGAAGGAAAACGGGATTATGTCTGTGAAAAATGTACAAAAGCTTACTTAACCAAATATCATCTCACCCGGCACCTGAAAACCTGCAAAGGGCCCACCTCTGGTTCGTCAGCACAGGAGGACTCGGAGGACTCGGAGGAGGAGCTGGCAGGCGCTGTGGGTGCAGAGGCCTGTCAGCTGAGCAGCACTGTCTATTCAGCAGACGAGTCTCGTGGCACATAAATAAGAGGACAAGCCAGATGTTTTGGATGGAAAATGCAAAGGAAAAAACACATAACCAGTTATCCACTACAGTGGCTTTTATACAAAATGGTTTCTGATCCTTCCAGCCAACAGTCAAAACAGACTGAATGGGAATGGATAAAGCACTTACAGGGAGTATCCTAATGAAAACACTAAAGTTGGGAAAAGAGCATGTGTCCTATTTTTAAGTGAGGTGTGGAGAGGAAAGTGTCAACTGTTGAGGTCTGTATTTACATGGGGACCTGTGTCGCATTATGCTGGAGTCAAAGCTGCCTTCTGCCCAATCAGATTTATTTTAAATTATTGCATTGTTTCCTTTTCTTCCTATGACTTAGCAGTACTCTGAACTTGGTCCCTGCCTCACAGTCATCCCAATTGCTGGTTCTGGTTCTAGTGTAGTGTTATGTGGACTGTTGTGACTTACTCATCCCAGGACAGATTGGAGTGCAGTGCTGTAAGCTCCTTTGCAGCTAACAAGTTTAAAGCCCCACCTGCCTTAATCTCTGTTTGGGATTTTAGGGTGGATCTTGCTTCCCAAAGTTTCAGCAGGTGCCTGGAGGGCAGATGATAAAGGAGCAGCCAGGCAATAGGCTGAGATGGAGAGAAGAAAAGGAAATGCCTGGGCCAGTGTCCAGGAAACTGGTTTGACAGAAGCCACAGTGAGGTACCTGGTTGTTCCTTAGATATCTGTGTAGGTTAGGTATATTTCTGTCTCCAGTAACGCTTCCAGTCCCCAAAGGGGACCTGGAGGTATAGAGCCAAATAATGCCTGCTGGATGATGTGCTGAGAAGCACAGGTAGACTCAGCTGGCAGATTGGTACCTTGGCCCAGGGTAGGAGGAAGCGGATGATCCTTTATATCTGGCTTAACTTCTGAAAAGTATCAGGACACCATTAAAGTGTTGCCAACTCAGAAAGACAAATGACCCCAAATACATTGGTGCATTTGCAAGGTTAGGCCTACCCAGTTGTCTGGTGAAGGACCGCACCATTTAAGCACGATGGATACCAAAGGATTTGGAAGGCAGAAGGCTCAAGGTCACCACATGGGTGTGTTTTCAGGTTCCCAGCTTCGTTCTTTACCCATCTGGTCTTTCACCTGGTTTCACGTGCATATCTAGCTTTCAGCATGAAGCAGACGTTCTTAAGTTGCAGTTGATAGAACATGCTCTCCTGCGCTGAGGCACAGTCTCTGGGTTGGAGTAGCGAGGACTCTGGTGGGAAGGTTTTGCTGCTAATGTATTTATAGAATGAATGTATTTCATTCAAATCTGTATTCCTCTAGGAAGGATTAAAAACTTTTTTAAAAATACAGGATTCCTCTTGTAATCTCATTTTGGGGAAGGAGAGGAATGAGTCTTTGGGGTAAAATCGGGTGCAACTTGAATTTTTTCAAGGTTAGAAATGGGGAAGCAGTTCCTGAGTACAGCTTTGGATCGTGTTGAAATGTGTGTCTGCATGATGGTGCTTAGACTGCGTCCTGTTTGCAGCTCATCTGCCCGCTCCTCCCTAAGGCAGTGCCTTTACTCTGCTGCCTCTAGAACTGTGGCCATTCTGCAGCGGTGGGAGGAGATGAGGCGTAGGTAGAAAGGGGTGACTGCCGTCACTGGGCCATGAAGCCTCTGTCAGGTAAGGATGGCTCTGATGTGATGGGCAACTCCAAGTTTAGCCTTTTGCCAAAAGCATCCTGGTGGCGGGCCACCCATTCCCAAGGAACCACTGGTGCTGGACCTACAAGCTTCCTTTCTCCCTTTATCTCAGTAGCTCATGCTGGGTTAAATTCCTTCATTTCCTAATGCTGGCTGAAATGCTGCCCAAGAAGATAGTTAAGCCTAATGTAAAAACAAGCAAAAACAATAGAGGAAAAGAGTTTCAATGAGAATGTAACTTTTATTTTTTATTTACTGTCTTCCATTTTTTCCTCTTAGACTTAAAATGTAATTCAGAGTCATTCTGATTAGATGAATAAATTAGTAACTGGCCTTTGGACAAGATTTTACTCTGAGCCTTCGCTGCCTATTGCAGGTGGCCTTTGCTGCTGCTGCTGCTGCTGTTGCTGCTGCTGGGTAAATGGCCATGTTGAGAAGCAGGATATGAGTGTGAGCTCTGGAGCTCACTGAACGTTCTCCAGTCTGGGCTTTGCTGCATGGTTTGTAACCTTAGCCAAGTTTTGTGACCTCTCTATGCCTCTATTTACTGTAAATAGAGAGTAAGTTCCCATTTCATACTATTTGATGTTAACATGCGTAAAGGGCCACCACAGTGTTGATGTACAGTAAACACAAGCCAATAGTCCAGTTTTAGGTTAGCACAAAAGGCCTTAAAAAATAGGTATAGATGGCCCAAGAAGCCCTGGATTTTATTAATATAAGTAAAATGGCATAATTTGAAGTTTCAGGGCCAAAGCCTAGGAACTAGCTTGTCATGTTCTTGTAGGTCAGTGTGTGTGTGCTTTGTATTTCCTTCCTTGAAGGGGAGCTGCTTATAATCAACCTTGCATGGGTGCTGAGCTGAACTCCTCAGCACATCAGAGGGCAAAGAGGTGGCAGGAACTAGTCTCCTTCAGCCTTCTCAGCCTGTTGACTTGTACACACACTTCCCAGTAAACACATTTAACTGTTTGTTGAACATAAACATCTCAGGTTGTCAGCCCCTCACAAGTATGTCAACTTACAGTATCTGATCACTCAGCTGCATGTTAGACACACACAGACACGCAGAAATGGCATATCTGCAGGTACACAAGTGGTTACCGCCTGTTAGGGGTTAGATGCCCCCCACCCCTAATTCATATCTTGAAGTTCTAACCCCCAGTGCCTCAGAATATGATCACATTTGGAGATAAGGTCTTCAAAGAAGTGATTAAGGTAAAAATGAGTTTCTTAGGGCATGCCTTAATCCAATACAGCCTGTCCTAAGAGGAGATTTGGACACAGACAAGCACAGAGGGAAGACCACGTGAAGACACGGAGAAGATGGCTATCTACAAGCCGAGGAGCGAGGGCTCGGAAGAAACAACCATGCTGACACTTTGATCTCGGACTTCTGGCCTCCAGAATTGTGAGACACTTAATTTCTGTAATTTGCACACAGCTAGTAATGAGTCAGTGCCTAGCCCACCAAGTTTTACTGATTCTTTAATAGTGGCTTGGCTAAAATTGGGATCTCACCATGGCTACTGGTCTTTAAAGATCGCACAGGAAATCTGTTCCCTTTGGGCAAAGCATATTTATTTATATACATGGTCTAGGGAGCTCGTAGAAAACATGCCTTGGTCTTCGTGTTTTCTGCCCTGTTGAACCCAGACACCCCCCCCC